GCTGAGTTGGTAGCCATGAAGTAGCAAGAAGGTGGTTGGCTTCTCCTCAAGATCTCAGCCCCAATCACACTGCATCACAGCCAACTGAGCTAACTAGGTGCACTTATGAGAAGAAAGATTGCCCCTTGGTGGAGCATTATGCCAAAATTTCTGCTTCAACCCCCGGCAACAGAATCTTTGGGTGTCTTTAGTGAAAAGCCATTTGGGAATTGGACTGTACATGCAGCAAATAGGATTTCAGTTAAATGGTAACATTGGTTTCCAAAAGAGTACCAGAGGGGAAGCTAAGCTCTTCAGAGCATGTGTTCATTAAAGATTTGAAGTGGGGTGGGAAGCAAAAAAAAAAAAAAAAAAAAAAGGCCAATGAGTTCTCTTGTGAGATAGTTTTTTGTTCCTATGAATTGAACACACTCTGAAAAGTTTCAAAAAAGAGACTGGGAAGAATGTATTTGCTTTGATCCAATATGTGGAGGGTTCCCTACTACAAATGCCCCTTAATTTAGGAGCATTATTGAAAAGTCTGTTTGAAAGCACATAAAAATATAATATGTAAATAAGCTCTAATTAGTTATTTCAATTAATTATTTTTTGTCTCAGCTTTGCAGCTCTGTTTTTCTCCCCATAATGTCACTTGTCAGAGTCCAGCCTTGGCACTCTTGAAAAAAATGTGTTTTTCTAATAGTCTTTATTAAGAAAACACTTTTTTTTTTTTTTTTTTTGCCCTGTTGAAAACATCACAGTGATAAAGTGAAATCCAGATTGTGTATCTTTGGGGTGAATTGTTTCAGACATTTTTAGTCCATGATTTGCTAGTATGATATTAAACAAGGAAATTTTAAAGTTAATTCAAAGAGTAGGTGTTTTCTTTTTCAACAAGTGGCATGCATTGCTTTTTAGAAAATGAATCTGTATTAGACCACTAGCCCTCTAACCTTCTTTCCTGACCATCCTGTGCTCTTTCTTTCTTTCTTTTTTTTTTTTTTTAATGTTTTATTTATTTCTAGGAGAGAGAAAGAGACAGCGTGAGCAAGGGAGGGTCAGAGAGAGGGAGTCACAGACTGAAACAGGCTCCAGGCTCTGAGCTGGCAGTCAGCACAGAGCCCGACGCGGGGCTCGAACCCACGAACCGCGAGATCATGACCTAAGCGAAAGTCGGACGCTTAACCGACTAAGCCACCCAGGCGCCCCCATCCTGTGCTCTTTCAATAGCAAATACTACATTGGATCTGGAAACTAAAGGTTTTAATTCTAAACCAAATAAGATGCTTCTCAGTGGGGACAATGAATGCTCTGGAAAAACACTGGTAAAATGAACTCAGGTTGTTTCCTTGTAGCAAATTTTTAGAAATTGACTAAACCTGAAATGTTGATTTTGGATGCCTAGAAAGGAAACTACATGACAAATTATGAGCTTTCACTTAGGAGTCTGCACACCCTCTGCCCCTGAATAGAATTGGAATTTTAGAGCTTAGAGCCACCTAGAAATCAGGGAGCAATCCTCAGCTTTTACTCACCAGTGTCTGTGATGGTACTTGGCTGGTTGGGGAAAAATGCAGGGCCCTAATCTGGGCACTAATCCAGAAGCACAGAATTGAAGTATATGGGTGGGAATTGGGGTGGGGGAGGGTCACAAACATCTCCAGAAGATTCTGATGCTCACTGAATCTGGCAACCCTTGATTTAGGCTGGCCCCTTTATTTTGCATTGAGGAAAACAGGCCTAGATGATGGGTCAAGTTCACAGTGTGTACTAGACAGGAACAGGGTTACTAACTCTGGACCTGTGCTTGTGTATACAGCATGTATCCAAAACAGTCCTAAGCATCCAGGTAGGTTCAAGCCTACTTCTAGGTCATTAGGGGTCATTTCAGCATGGAGAGTAGGAGAACATGGTTCCAAATGAGGTATGAAGGTAAAGACACACAGTAACAGCAGTTTTTATGCTCTTGCTTCTTCTAACTTAAAACCAGAATGAGCCCTCGCCACGTTCTCTCAGCCCTTCTCTCTTTGATGAGACTAGTGCACAGTGGTGAGACTGCTTAGCTCATTTAGTTAACTCCTATATTTGAACCTCCAGCATGTTAAGCTTTGGACCTGTGTGCCTGATTGACATACACATTTTTAGACCATACAGTGTCTTAAAATGCATATTTGTGTCTTTTAATACTGTTTATTGCATCTAAGAAATTATAATAAAGCCATTAAAAATTATAGACTAATAAACCCAGTAGTATCTGCCAAAGCATATATCAATATCCAGCAAATGCTTACTGATGTTAATCATATCTAATATCCCAACAACCGAAAAGCCAAAGTGACTCAAATTTATTTTTTGCTGTGTTCTGTGGTGAGAATTGAAACTATAATGATGATCCTGAATTCCTGCAAGACTGTGATCACTTTCTAAATCATTAGGAAAGACTGAATTTTATTCAGTGTCATTTCAGAGTTAAGTCAATTTGACCATAGGCTAATTTTTGGAAACAGCAATATCTCAGAGTCTAGGATGTGCCAGGTTCCACTGACTCCTGTCCCACCGTCCATATATGAACACATGAGTAATGTATCATTCTTAGAATGGGCAACATCTTTCTCATGGGGTTATTAACAAAAGTATGCTGCTTTTAAGAGTCAGATGACCAAGTTAGGAGGATCACTTCTAGGATAGCTCTGAGAAATTAAAATCTCTTCATATGTGGGTGTATATGTGTCAAATAATACTCAGTTTATCATCCTTTCTACCTAAACATTTGCCGATAGTCTCCTTCATGTAAAGCTCTGTGTCAAGTACTGAGGAAGAGAATAGATCTGAGGAGTTGGATAAGCACATAAAAAGACACAGTAGTTTCAGGAAGTGTGTGTTAAATGCCAGATGAGCAATAATGTGGTCAGTGAGTGCAGCGAACAGCATTCCAGTGTTCAGAGTCCAGTAATTGTGACAGCGCCTCCGTCCAGCAGAAGCAACGTGCGTGTTTCATTCTTCTTTATCTCTCACACATATCTCGTTGCTCAGCCAATCTGAAAAACAGGAGCTTGTTATGATTTTGCTGCTACTCAGTAGTAAAGAAATAACTATTCTAGGAGGGAACAGGATGAAGCTTTTGAAGCATAATACAGATACATTTACTTACTATCTTTCAATAAGTCTTGTGTTTAAAAACAATATGGTTTACTTCTCTTCCTGGAGAATACACTGTGAAACTGCTTGATTACTGATGCCATTTTTTTTTTAAACTTTTTAAATTTATTTCTAGGAGACAGAGAGAGAGAGCGTGAGCAGGGGAGGGTCAGAGAGAGAGGGAGTGACAGACTCCGAAACAGGCTCCAGGCTCTGAGCTGGCAGTCAGCACAGAGCCCGACGCGGGGCTCGAACCCACAAACCGCGAGATCATGACCTGAGCGAAAGTCGGACGCTTAACCGACTAAGCCACTCAGGCGCCCCTACTGACGCCATCTTATTTGTGATGAAAGTCCTGTGAGTTTTTGTGATATTTTCATTCATAGAGTACATGCAAATCACTTTCTTCTTAGGTTAGCAGTTTGTTAAACAAAATATTTGGAGCTCTTTTAAGGGAAGTGAGGTATAACAGTAGTAGTATAACGTGGTGGTGGTGGTGATGATGGTGAAGAGTACTCCATTTTATGCCCTTATTATGAAATAGGATTAATGTGAGATTTCTGTGATCAGTATGGTACTTGACCCAACCGTGAAGTGGGCCTCCACATGGAAGGGTTTCTGAAATGAACCAACAGATGGGAAATGTCAGGATAATGTTGCTGTTAGTATAATCATGATTATATGTTCTGGGCTGCCGGGATTTTGTCTTTGGCTTGTGATGGAATTTTATCCTCACCAGTTGGTTCCTCCTACCTAAAGAAAAAGAATGGCTTCTTTGTGACAGAGCTGTGCTTATTACCAGTTCTTCTTAGAGGACCAGGACAGTGCTCACAGAATCATGGATTTCCTCGGACACAAAAAGGGCCTTAGCAATGACTTGCAGGCAGCCACTGGTCCTGAGTAATGGGGAGGATTTGGCAAAGTCAAAATCAGAGAAGAGGGTATGGTGTGAGGAGAAGTAATATGTGCCAATGTGTTAAGGGCGGAGTGAGCACCCTGTTTATTTGGGGAATAGCGAGGAGCATTCTCTGATTCCCACTGGAGAGTCAGAGTCTGTAGTTGGAAAGGTGGAATAGAGGCCAGTTGAAGGACCAGTTTCTTTCACTGACTTCGTAAGTAAAGGAAGGCCACGTATTTGTTTTTAGAATCATTTTAAAATTAGACAAGCGTAGGGGCGCCTGGGTGGCTTAGTCGGTTAAGCGTCCGACTTTCACTTAGGTCATGATCTCGCGGTTCGTGGGTTCAAGCCCCGCGTTGGGCTCTGTGCTGACTGCCAGCTCAGAGCCTGGAGCCTGTTTCAGTCTGTGACTCCCTCTCTCTCTGACCCTCCCCTGCTCACGCTGTCTCTCTCTCTCTCTCTCTCTCTCTCTCTCTCTCCTGGAAATAAATAAAAACATTAAAAAAAATTTTTTTTAAATAAAATAAAATTAGACAAGCTTAGAGTCCAATCCAAGCTCCACCACTTACTGGCTAGGTGACCTCAGACAAAATTCTTAACTTGGCTAAAACCATCTCAAAATGTTATGTGTGTTATATAAGATCCTTTATGAGAAGCCCCCAGCAGAATGGCTGGCGGTGGAAATGGTTTATGAGGAGAAAGTGAGGTATTAATAGCGGGATTGTAGAGAGGCTGATCTCTGATAGCTGTATGCAGAAGACGTGGAAGAGACTAGAAACAGGACCAGTTAGGTGCCGGTTATGGCAATCCCTTGGGAGTGAGGAGGTGAAGCTGTTGGACTAGCAAGGGAAGGACACTCTATACATGTATTCTCTGAAGTTTTTTTTCTCCCCATTACAGACTTTTATTTGAGGGTTGTATAACCTTGTTCTGTGGTGTTAGAAGTACAGCAATGATCATAGACTCTTTCTTTTGCCTTGAACAGGATGCCAGCGATCCATAGGCCTTTCCAATGGGAAAGCCAAGGTGTGCAATTACAGTGGGTGGTATTACTGCGGCAGCTGCCACGTGGACGACAGTTTTCTCATCCCCGCACGCATAGTCCACAACTGGGACACTTCAAAATACAAGGTAAGTGCAGGGTCTGAGTTTGCCTCGTGCTAGCAATGTGGGTGTTTAGATGTTGTGTGGGTCGTAAAGATAATGATACAAGGATCTGAGGCGGGCTTGAGTAGAGAGTCTCAGGAAAGCTGCGCGATCTTACCTAACACTTCTTACCTGCCTCACATTTAAAGGTGGCTCAACTGTGACTTCTGTTAATTTCCTCATTTAAAAAGATATATAGCAGTTTGTTTGTTTTTTTTTTTACTTCGGGGCCTTGATAATTAGCTGTGGGTGCTACAAAAGAATTCTGATAGAGAAACAGGCCTCATTATTTTTTATTAGATTGAATCTCCAAAATCCCAACACTTTAGAGGATAAAAATAGGGGGGAAAAGCATGGGTGAATATGCTTCTGACTTTTGAAGGAGAGGACTTACAGAATTTAAGATATTTCTTAGAGTAACACTCCTACTCATGAGAAGGTCATTCTTCCAGAAATCCATCTCTCTGGACCTAGAACCTAGAGAGAACCTATGAGGACTTCTGGATGGGGGGCACACTAACAAACAGTGCACTGAGCCACCCTCACACCTTTACCTGGACTGTTGTTTGTTTATTTATTTATTTTTGGTATGGGATTCTTTTATTTTTTAAATTTACATCCAAGTTAGTTAGCACATAGTGCATCAATGATTTCAAGAGTAGATTCCTTAATGCCCTGTACCCATTTAGCCCATCCCCCCTCCCACAACCCCTCCAGCAACCTTCTGTTTGTTGTCCATATTTAAGAGTCTTTTATGTTTTTGTCCCCCTCCCTGTTTTTATGATTTTTGCTCCCTTCCCTTATGTTCATCTGTTTTGTATCTTCAAGTCCTCATATGAGTGAAGTCTTGTTATTTGTCTTTCTCTAATTTTGCCTAACATGATACCTTCTAGTTCCATCCATGTAGTTGCAAATGGTAAGATTTCATTCTTTTTGATTGCTGAGTTACACTCCATTGTATATATATACCACATCTCCTTTATCCATTCATCCATCCATGGGCATTTGGGCTCTTTCCAAACTTTGGCTATTGTTGATAGTGCTGCTATACACATTGGGGTGCACGTGTCCCTTTGAAATAGCACACTTGTATCCCTTGGATAAATACCTAGTAGTTGTTTATTTTTAAAAAGGGAGGAAGTGAGAATTACAGGTATATGCTAACAGCTTTGCAAAGTACCTGCTAACAGCCAAGCAGAAGTACAAATATCAGACTTGGTAGCTATAAAAATACAGATCAGTAGAGGAGGAGAGAGGAAGTCTGAGCACTGGGACACTCCACCTTAACAGTGTAGAAAGGAGGGGGTGCCTGGGTGGCTGAGTCAGTTAGGCATCTGACTTCAACTCAGGTCATGATCTCGTGGTGCAGGAGTCTGAGCCCCAGGTCGGGCTCTGTGCTGACAACTGGGAGCCTGGAGCCTGCTTCAGATTCCATGTCTCCCTCTCTCTCTGCCCTTCTCCTGCTCTCACACTCTGTCTCTGTCTCTCAAAAATAAACATTTTTTAAAAAGTGTAGAACAGAGAGGAGCAACCAGCAAAGGAGACTGAGGAGGCATGCAGAGCAAGGTAGAAGGACCCTGGTGTGTCCAACAAGCCACATGAAGAATCTGTCTCCAGATCAATTGTGACAGAGGCTGACACATGGATGATGAGATATGATAAGATGAGCGCTGAGGATTGACCATGGGATTTAGGAACATGGTGGTAATCACTGACCTTGCTGAGAGCAGTTTGAATTGAGCGGTGAGAGTGAAGGTCTGAATAGAGTGGGTTTGGCATGGAACAGGAGAGAAATTAGGGACAAGAATAGACAACTCTTAAGAAGTTTTGCTGTAAGGGGAACGAGAGAGATGAGGAGTAACAGGAGGGGATGTAATATCAAATTGGGTTTGATTTTTGTTTTAACGGAAAAAAATAACAGCATGTTTTCTATGCTGATGTGAACTACCGAAGAGAGAGAGAATTGCTAGAAGATGTGGGTAAGTGAGGAAGATGGAATGGTGTAGACAGCAGGAGGGTTGGCCTTTGCTTGGGGCAGGAAGTAAGAGAAGAGGCAAAGGCTGTGGATGCAGGCCTAGGGAAGTCCTCTTCCATGTACATCAGCCCTCGGATCATTTTATGTCAGCCCCTGTGATCCTACAGAGGTTAAATGCCAGCCCTGGCCACTCTGGGAAGTGCCTTTACCTTCTATTTCATAGAGATAGAGCGGTGATTAAGGCAATAATTCCACCAACCCTTTTATAAACTTGTCTGCATCTACACCCATCCTCCTTCTCCCGCTTCCAGCCACAGAAGAGACCTCACTCCTGTGGAAGGTTTACTCCTTCCACCTCTGCTCACGCTCTTAACTCCTCCCTTAGTTTTGCCAAATCTGGCTGACCCTTGTCAGTTGCTTGTTCTGTTGGACTTCTCTGAGATACAGTATTTGACCAGGAATTCTTCTGCCTGGTCTTCGAAGACCCATCCTTGGTTTTCTTCCTACTTTGAACTCTTTTTCTAAGTCACCTTCTGATTCTTTGTCCTCTGCCTACACCTTTAATGTTGCAGTTCCTTAGGGTCGTGTTTTCTTTTCTTTTCCCACTTTATGCTCTATTGCAGTATCTTTCTCTTCCATGGTTTTAACTCCCTGATGATTCCCACTTTTATCTTCAGCTCCATTAAAAAAAAATTTAATGTTTATCTATTTGGGGGGGACAGAGAGAAGGAGGAAGGGGCAGAGAGAGGGGGACAGAGGATCCAAAGTAGGCTCTGTGCTGACAGCAGAGAGCCTGATGCATGGCACGAGATCATGACCTGAGTCAAAGCCAGACATTTAACTGACTGAGCCACCCAGGCACCCCTCCAGCTCCAGTTCTGCTACCGAAAGGGAGATCTATGGACTTAATTGCCAAATGACACCTTTAGATCTAGCTCTCAGCCTAGTGGTCTTCAAGATACGTGAATCGTAGTGCAGTAGCCAGCTGCATTGTACCGCAGTCCCCCCATGCATAAACGAGGCAGTAGAACTTGGCAAGTTGAGGAATCTAATCCACTGAAGGACTCTAGGCTTAGGATTCTTTTGTGGCCCTGCATCCTGCCAGAACAGAGAATTCTGGTATCTGACTGACGAGCAGCTTTTTTCTGATCCTTCTGTTAGAATATTGTCACATCTGCCTTGAATGAACCTTCCATGCAAAGTACTTTGTACGAACATAGTCTGTATGACCGTTTTTTTACCCCCTTGCTAATAGATGTCTGAGACTTGCTTTCATTGTGACTGTATCACCTGGGAGCAAAGCAAGCAGGAAGGAACCCATAACTGTCACCTACCAGTAATTTCTGAGGTCTAAAAGAAACAAGAAAAGTGCAAGGGGCCATTTGGCTGATATCCCTTCTAGACCTCTGGGCAGCTCTGTCCCCTGGGCAAGTTAGCCTGTGTTTGAGTGTTCTCATCTGTAAAATGAGGACAATAATACTTCATAGGATCACTGCTGGTTAAATGGGTTCATGCACGTGAGGTGTTTAGAATAGTGATAGCACATGCTGTGTGCCAAATAAGCATTCATTCTTATTGTAACTTCCATAGTCACCTACAAAAGTCCTATGCATTGGGACCATATAAGAGAGGCGCTCTGCAAATCACCTTGATAAGCACTTCAAGAGTGGGAGCTGTTGTCATGGTCTTCATTATCCCCACATTTATGTTGCTCCTCTCTGGGAGCTCCCTGGGCACAGGGAACCTGTCTTAGCATAGATTCTGGCACCTAGTAGGTAGGCAGAAATGTATACTGAAAGAATGAAGGAATGAGGCCTGTCATGGGCCCCTCCAAACTCAGTACACCCCAGATCGGCTTCTTCCTCCTCACCGCACATCCCTCCGGAATGTCCATGGCCCCAGCGGTCTCCACTGCCAGCACAGCAAAACTTTACCCTGGATTTGCACTCTTGAGATCACACTCTCTGCTGCACCTGCAGTTCCGCCTCATGAACTCACACCCTCGGTGCACTCCCACGAGGGAGTTTGGTGACTTCCTAACTGTGCCTCCTGCCTGCACATCTTGCCCCAGCAATAGCGGAGAAGATCCTGATCCCGCCGTGGGTAAATCTAGTACCCTCTCTTAGTCTCGGCTTCTTCACCTTTAGAAAGGAGGTGATGATGACAGTAATACAGTAAAACAGTAGTACCTGCTTCATGACAGCGCTGTTCACGTAAAAGAATGATTCCCAGAAAGCACCAGGCAGTGCCTGGCACGCAAGTGCTCAGCTAATGCCAGCTTTTACTCTGACCGTATAGAAGATAAACACAAATCTCACAGCCAGGCACAGAGACCTTTTGTGACCTCTGGTTCTAGCCCCTTCATGCCCTACCTTCCCGCCCCCCAGAGCATCCTCGGTAAGGTCCCACTCCCTCCTGTTCCTCAGTGCTGCCCTGCTGGTGTGCACCTCTCGTCTCCCCCTCGCCCTCATTCAGCATGGCAGACCCTAAGCCTGTCCTAGACCTCATTTCCTCTCCCCCACTTCTTCCTTCCCCTTTCCCACACAGTTGCCATTCTCTCCTCTGCATCTCGGACTTGACACTCTGAATCTAGGGTATAAATATATTTGCCATGTGTGTATTAGATGACAACGTACTTAGAGGGAAAGAACACTGGTTGACTTTGGTTTAGATTCTTTATATTAATCTTCGAGTGGGGCTTTGACAGCTAAGAGAGGTGTAGAGAGAACCAGTGAGGGAGGCAGTCCCAGCTGGGGTCACCGAGAGCTTAGACTAGTGGCACCCGCCAACAGAATATGTGCCACTTCGGGGAGTTAAAATGGAAGAGGTGGCACTAAATGAGGAAAATTTGAAAATCAGGCAGGCTTACGAAGATGCGAAATGGTGGAAGAGATCCAGGTCCGTTTGCAGTGACCTCTAAAAGCCACTGAAACCATCAATTTCGTCATCACTGGCACTTTCCATCTTTTCGCCAAAGCAGACATTTTGCCATGCTGGTCATCCAAGTGAC